AACGCGGAAACCGCCTGGAGACGGCTGGCGCCATGGGGACGTCCTCAGCTCGATTTCATCATCCCCATTTCATTCCCATTATGAAAATGGGCTCACAAACAGCGCTGTCAGATGTCAAGTTCTCTTCCGAATCTTCTGACTTGACAAGTTGTGATAACTGTACGGAGATTTGCGGTCAAACAGCGCTGTTTGTCCCAATTTTCAGTTCCGTGTGTTTTCTCGTACGTATCGATTAGCGCGATGCTGTCCCAGCCACTCCTCACACCGACTTTCTAGAACGCTCGCATTCGCAGTTCTCTCCTCTCGCTGTGTTGTGGCGTTCCTGTGTCGTTCTTTGAAAAGCTACCCGATATTCACTATCTTAGCTTTTTTCAGGTAAAAAATCAGGAATGAGGATCGTTTTTGCCTTGACGGCATTGTTCCTGGCTGTTTCTGCCGATGGGGATGTATTGGCTTACACGGACAGCAACTTCGAGGAGCTTATCAAGTCACACGAAGTTGCGCTGGTGAAATTCTACGCTCCCTGGTTAGTTTTGATCTTTTTCGAGTAGAGAAGCATTTCAGGGAAGTTTTGAATGCAGAAAATTGAAATTAGGGGATATTACACACACAAAAATTGAGAGGGAGAATACACAAGTTTTCTCCGTCAAAATATCGCTCAAGGCAGTCCAAACTGATAAACTTGCGAAATACATGGATGTTAGGTTAACTGGGACCATAGACTTCGTCGTAAACTATCGATCACAGTGTCGTTTTCAAGAAAAGTTCGAGAATGACGCCCATGCGGATGCCCATTCTGTCACCTTTTTATGTTTTTGGTGCTCGAGGAACTCTAAAGCAAGGCGACACCTCCATTGTGTTGCTTTTTAAAGCTGCGAAAAAGCCTGCTCTTATCGAATAATTCCAACCATGATTCCCTTGATAAGCGTTGTACGTAGCTGATCTAGTGCTTTTTGGGAAGTTACACCAGCGTTACTTTACAGCGCAGGATTCAGCTTGTGAAAATTGCATCATTCCCTGAGCGCTCAGTTCTAGCGCAAATAATTTGG